TTATATTCTTTTCAAAATCTGAGCCTTGGGTTTATTCTTAAAATATTCTAAGAATTTCGCAGATTTCAACCTAGATATTCATATAAAAGATCTTACAGAAAAGAAAGAGTGTATTTAGTACTAACTGCTAGATGTGGCTTTTCCCATTAAATCCGAGCAGTCTGCAATCAAATTCAATTTGAGCCGTGATAAAGGGCGAGAACCAAACTCTCTGTTTTCTTCTTCGTGGCTCTCTTGGTGGGTTATTTTTTACTCAGGACAGAAAAACAAGAAAACCCTTGGAACCAGAAAAAATGCAATGACTGACATTATTTTGTGTGTGTCAACTCAGTGTTGTGTCCTATGGGCAAATATCAGTCACAGAGTCCAGAACAAGCTGTGGCAGCATTTTGGGAAAAAGGTAAAATGATCACGCAAGAATTAAACAAATGAAGACAGATATTGGCACCGACACATAGCAGATGTCAAGCCTGCTCCCATACTGATTTGTGGGGCAAAAATTTCAACATTATCTGCTATAGCCACCTTGTGGCACAGTTGATCATCCAAGAGCTGAGAAACCCACAAAAGGGACACCTTTTCCCAGAGGGAGGGTACTCCCTTATATGGGCTATATAGGTATGCGTGGCCCAAAGGGTACGGTTTTTCAGTCTGAACTAGATTGGTTGGGTATTAAATAGGGTAGGGAATATTGCAGATTTTGGTTGTAAATAGGGTAAGGGTTTTGGGAAGTGGGCTGCACACCCCCACCAAATTTTCCTAGGAGTACCCCCTCCCCCAGGTACCTTTTATAGGCTTGATGCCGAAATGCTACGTCAGCAGAACTCCATTACACATAATGCGAAAACAATCCCTCAATTACTCATCATCACAAAGTGATTGATGTTACTACGAACTATAATCCTCTGTTCTCAAACAGAGAAAAAAGGATTATGCTCCGGTTCCATCGGAAGTAATACAATTGGGGTAAATGTCATTCATTTTACACCACAAGTAATTTTACGTGTGACTCCACAATCAAACTTATTTTGCTTTCTATTAACCTCAGTTTTATGTGAGCTCTTTCAAAAGACTCTAAAATTAAGAAATGGTTTGGCATTTAACTAAAAATGACTAGAACAAAGCTTTTGTTGGTTTTAAAGATACAGTGGCCTTCGAATTGGGACCCATTACAGCATTCTAGGAGTCTACTAGAGGCTAAAATATTTTGAATGTGAGATGTGAAAAAGGCAGTAAAGAGGTTAAAATTTTCAACTTTGCAAAACCAAAATTTGTTGGGGAGTTTGCCATTTGCACGACTGTGACAAGCTTCCAGTCACAACTGGAAAGCTTTGTCAGTAGAGGGCTCACTATCAAATTTAAGTTGATCACCATCATCTCATAGTTGCGATGTAGTTCCGAGTTCAGAAATGAGCCTAACAATGCCAAGTGGCACTCCAAACAGTGGCTCTGCCTCTACGACCTATCAACAGCCAGTAATGCCAGATATTGGCAAAAATGATGGAAAATGAAAAATGACGCTGCCTTCGATACTAATACCGATACTCCTTGCACATCTAAGCAACGAAGAATTCGGAAAAGAGGGTTGCCTGAGCCAGATGCTACTGAAATTATTCAAAGTCTTCCATGGAAAGATGTCCTTTCACTCCTTCAGCAGAGATTCAAATAATGCCAAGTTGGTAAGACCAATGATTGATATTTATAAAATCTCAAAAACTGTTTTGCAATAAGGGTTCGTTTATTTTGGATACTTAATGCATTTTGTTCATAAGTGAATTAGTTATATGTAGCGTTTGGGGCATGTTACACTAAGTTCGTTTTTTTATCTTTTTTTTTCACTCATGTCAGCTCAACCATGAAACACCAAGAATGCAGCAGTTTTGTACAATTTCACGAAGAACAGAATGTCAAATGCTTTGTAATGGCTATTAAAGAGTTCTCATCATAAAAATCAATATTTATTTTAAAGAATGAGACAGATAATGGCGGGGTAAATCTCTGTAGTGTTGTGTTAGGCATTCCCTTTGATGTTTTGAGTACACTGACTTTCCCTCTTGATTGGACAGTGTTGTTTTCCGGCACTTGTTGCGCAAGTCATCAGAAGATTTAGAGTAGTTCTCACCTTGACAAATGCTAGTAGTGAGGTAAATACAGCGAAGATGAACGACTGATAGTCTAAATTCAAAGCCCTAACCTTAATTAAGGACCATCACTAAAGTAGGGGCCTAGTAAGAATTTAACAATTTGAATGAAGGAATTCACACTTTCTAGTTTAAAATCAACTAACTTGCAATCGGATTTTGTATTGTTACAAGTTTTGTTATTACAGTGCATATTAGATATGAAATTACATTTCATGCCATATTTACTTGCATGATGTCGCTTAATTCAAGGCATTATTTCAATATAAATTTTTAGCAGTTCATTCAGGAACCTTTTCTGTACCAGTCAGCCAACTAGTTACCCCAGAAAAAAAGCAATTGCTGATCAGAGAAATCGACCCAAAAGCAGTGGATGTACTTAAGGAGAAAATAATCCAACATCTAAATAGATTTTACTCTAGAATTCCTGTGATAGCCCTGCAACTCAAGTCTAAGGATGAGTCTAAAAAGGAATATTTGTCCTCTTTATGTCTAGAAACCCTAGGCAATAACCATCTGAGAAGAGCTTCCCAAGAGCTGGTCATTGATCAGCACTTCAGGGGTTGTCAGATTGTCCTTAATCATGATGTGATGATCTATGCAGGACGGGCCCACTACTGGAGCTGAATGTCGATTGCGTATCGTTTCAGCCTTGCGCAAGTTGGTGCCTGGCTGGGGTTCGTTGCCCGAATATTGCCAACGCTATGATGAGGTCACATGTCAATCGTTTAGCCTCCACGCAATCAAAGAAATTCTTGTAGAAATAAAGGTGTCACCATATTTAAGCTCTACTGACCAAACTGAAAACCTCTCGACTGTGTCCAACTGGAAATACACGGGCTGATTTTTCAACTTTCACTCCGTTGCGTACGGGGCTCCACGACTTCCCATAGAGATTAGGTGGGATCCACAACGTGTAAATGGACCATATACTATTTAGTTTAAGAACAGTCTTTACATTATCTATTCATGTACTCGTGTCTATACGTGTTTAGTTGCAGTATTTATTATATTCGTGGCTTTTTTGTTCGCGAACAAAGAAACGTCAAAAGTGATTCTTTTTTTTGTTGTTGTGTGAACAGCGAAAGCAAAACACGAATGTTAGCCGAGACAAGCATCCATAGTGTAATATCCAGACAACGAAATGAATATGTATAAAAAGTACATAAAGACAAATGTAGGTTTAGACAAGCAAATAAAATGTGTATGTAATGTTATGTCAAGACTCCTTGAATTTATCTCAATTGACACTGGCCAACCTTCATGGGAAATGGAAGGATGGAATGGGAAAGGGAGCGAGATGGCACAACGCGATGTGTGTCAATGGTTGCGTGTTGCAAACTCTGAGCCGGTTTTAGCAAACAACTCAGGTCCCACGGCACCCTTTGGCTTGTCCTCCACACCCCCATTTTTTCCACCACCCTCGCCTGAGTGGGACTCAGACACGATGACGTAATGGGGTGGGGTCATTGACGTCACAGTTATGACGTTGACAATTATGTCATCATGGCCGTGACGTCAACATGACGTTTCATTAAAAAGTGAATTTTGTCACCAGTGTCACGACGTATCAATGACGTCCAAGTGGCCCGAGCCGCCCTGCACGGCCAATCACGTATAAAAAATGGGTCACTCCCATCGTCGTGACCATCATTCGGAAAACGTCTTGGATGAGCGAACAAGTGAGCAAGCAACAAGCAGGTACATGGAACGATCGGCCGACCATCCTTCGCGAATGTAATGAGAGATTACTAATTCGTAGTATCGCGTAGCAAAATACCACAGGGGGCTGGTAGGAATCCTACAAGATGAACCAATCCAAAACACTCAATTTTCTGCGATGACAGACATGGCTCTTGTCCTCAAATTTCATTTGTACCGACCGAGTCTATTGTCATCAAGTTTCCTTCCTGTTCTGGTCACGTACACGTTAAAAAGATCATGGCTTCTTCGAAAAAGGCAAATTATAAGGGTCGAAGTCCCAATGTCATCTGGTACATTGAAAGTTGTGGTAGCAAGGTCGACATAAGTTCGCTTATTTCCCCAAATCTTGCCGCAGGTGCAAGACTCGCTGCAGAAAACCAGTGTCAAGCACTAGACGAAAAGACGGCAAGGACATATGAGCTGCGGCTCATTGCCCTGGAAAATTTCGCCATGGCCAACGGGGATGGTGCGGTACTTTTTGGGCCTGACAAACGACCCTTTCTAGCCGCCACAATACAGACCTATATGCGTAAGTGTTTTCCGGTGTTTCTAGATCTTTTCTTCATAAGCGAAGGGGAACCTTCCGACTTGGGAGGTGGGGGGCGGGCGGTGATCCTATTGCCCGAAAAAAATTACACAATGCCCGAAAGCGTGAGTCTTGTTCACGTCTAATGAAACTGTTATCAAGCCAAAAATACTGAAACCTCGTATACTCTATAACCTCGATCGACAGCCTGGTAAAATCAGAAACTTATAAAACAAACAGTTGATTATTCCGCGTACGAACATTTTTTGGGCTCTTTTGTCATTGCTTTGCTGATGGAAATAATAGTAATCTTGTGGATTTCCATGATACACATTTAAACGATAATTATATGACTTTCCAAAACAGAATGAATGGTTCCTTATATCAAGGAGAGAAAGTAGCCTACAATTCTGGCCTGGACTACCATTTAGAATGTTTTCTCCCGACTACTTTTGTTGTAATCATAAGCGCTCTTTGCCCGAAAAATTTATGAACATGGAGATCCGCACCTGTTA